GCAGGAAAATTCTGTATATAGCTATTATTACAGATTAATTTACTACAGTTGCCTGCTTTGTTAACCTTAAATTTAACCTATGTTAACTTCAGTTGGAGTAAAGTTAGAGAACTTCTCAAATTCCAGTTTTCAAATCAGGGTAGCTATGCTGAGTAAGTATAAAAAGCTATTCTGCAGAAGAAAAACAAAGCCAATGGGGTGCTTATTTCCCATCTAATATATAGACCACTAGCCTGCAACAGAGCAGGAAGAACGTCAGTGGTGCACAAATGTATTGGAAGAAAGAGAAAAAAAAAAAAGTAATCTTAGATTTTCAATTCAAAACCACTTTCACTTGAAACTACTGTAGCAACTTCCCTAGCTAATGCTGGCAGGAGCTTTGTGATACCCCACTGCATGCAAAACCCTCCCCTACAGACATGTTTGATTCACTTACTTGGGAATTTGCGTTCATGGCTCAGAGCAAGCAGGCGTTTCATTTCTGCAAAAGACATAAATAGTATAATGTGTGCATGCCTTATGGATCTGAGAGACACAGCATCAGGAAAAAATAGGTGTGAAAGCAAAACAGGTGTAACAGCGAAATGCTTAATAGCCAGCAGCTTAATAGACACTGTGTCTACCTTCCTCATCAATTGTGTGGCTTGATGAAACTCCATCAGTGTCTGTAACAACACAAGAGTAAATTCCCAAATCATCTTCTCCAAGATCCTTAAAGATAGCTTTTGACCTTTAGGGAAAAAAAAAAAAAATCAAAAAACAGAACATTTTGATGAGAAGATGAAATCAGTTTGAACCAAACCCCTCCTTTACATCTCTAACACCAGATAAAAAATAGTCTTGTATTAGCTTTTGCTCTGACTGAACAGGCAAATACAGGGCTCTGGCCAGCGTAAATGAGCGTAGGTCCTACTATGCATGGTACAAATGGAACTGGCACAACTCTCAGTGCCAAAAGCACTAGAGATAGCTAGTTTAACCTAGCTCAAGCATGCTTAAAAACATGTTGCCAAATCTTTGATGAGCATGGAAGGACACTGATTCAATTTTCATATGCGATAGCAAGAGTGTGGTGAATCAGCCTTTCTTTCTGTATGGCTTCTACAACTGGAAGAGCACATAGGTACTTCATAGGCTGAAGCTGTGCATTTGACATTTCCTCCTCTCTGTTAAAAGCCTGAACAGAGTAGGTTTGTAGAGCATTACAGAAGTTACCAAATCAGGCCGTGGTGATGACATCAGAAGAGAGTCCTGCTTACTCCAGCGTCTCCGAAGACAGCAACAGTGTTACGTGGTAAAAGATTTTGCAAGCAGCCAGATAATTCTATCCTTTGGAGATTTTGAATAATAACAATAGGAATAATAATAATTTGTCTTGATTGACAGGTTATAGGATGACAGAACACAGATGTTCTCTCCCTGTGCCTAAACATAACTAAATTGCCTAAACAGGAGGCCTGACTCATTCCATGCAAGCTACAATTTCCAAATGGCCTTACTGGAGAACAACGTACTCGTAAAGTAGCCTTCCAGTAACATAGGCAGATATAGCTTTTACTGAGGTCATACATTGAAATGGATGGATTTCTGTGACCAGCCTAGATCTCTCAAACACAAGACTATTGCTAACCCCAAGGGTCCTTACTTGCCGCCTTTGGTATCAATGTTCAGTCGAGAGTCATCCTCAATTGGTTCATAATTCTTGGACCAAACAAACTGAGAGTTTGGAGACATCTGATCACATTCAAAGTTCAAAGAAATTACTCCATTGTCATCTACATCCACCACCACTTCCTTGGTTCCTGAAAGAGCAGAACAAGGCAATTCCACTTTCTCAGAAAAGCCATCAAACAAATTTATACAGATATCATTTATAAGGTAGATTAAGCAGATCCTTTCCATTTTCTCAGTCAGCACATAAATTGCTACAAACATTGGCATCCTCAGTCTTTTATTCACGGTTCTTATTCTAATCTATAAAAACAAGGAAGAGATTAAAGAGCATTGTAAATCAACTGGTGTATTTGAGCAAGTCTAAGCACACATGACAGTTATGATATTTGCTCTGGAAAAACCTGAAGGGGGGAAAAAAAAAAAGCAAGCTTCTAAATCCACTGAATGTTTGGAATATTAAATAGCAATATTTTCCATGGTAAGAGCTTTCATTATGCAGCATGGATTGCTTATTCCCTAATAAAATAAGAACTCTAAAGGGAATACGGTGTGCAAATGTGGGTGTTTGAAGAGGTGCAGGAGGCAAAAGAGGAAACAATCGAGTTGCCCCATCAGGACTCACTTTTCAGTGACTCTGGCTTCACTCTGGGAGGTTGGTTTAATTGCTGCGCTTGGCATCCAGCCCTGCTGCCGTCTGCAGCAGTAATCCAGGGCCCACAAAAGGAGTGAATATTTGCAATTAGCTGCTTAAATCGCCCACCCTGCTTTGCCAGTGCCTACAGTCCTTGAGCTGGATAAGGTGACCCAGTTTGTCCTTTAGAAGGCCCTGGGGGTGAATCCCAGGTCAGAAACCCGAGGCACCTCTAGCCTCACCCCCTCGCGCCCCGATGAAGCTGAGGGAATTTCATCCAGGATTCAGGCAGCTTGGCGAGTTCATCATCTGTGGCATTAACTTTAATTTCAACAACTTGTCTGAGAACGTCAGGGAAAGTGTGTGCACTGAGAGGTGCTGGAGAACATCCAGCCTCCTTTTCCGAACAGCTCTGAGCTGGATCTGGCATCTGAATAGGGCACTCATGGTATGTTATTTAGCTTAAGACAATTCCGGGCTGCCCAGAATGCTAATGACACACTTTCTTCACAAAGTATTGTACCTTAAAGACAAGAGCCTTATTCCTGACATTGTGATTAAGGGCTTTATTTTCAGCGTAATTCTTAATGAGCCTCAAGCATACAAGGAGATTTCTGTGTTTCATCATCCTAATACTATACACCTCCTTTCCAGCACTGTGAGTAGCTCCTGTAATGACAATTTGTGTACACACAGCTTTCTTAGTCTTTGTAATTTTCCATAACCATCTAATGAAAGATGAGATTAATATTCCCATTTTGGTATTGTTATTTACCAGCCTTCACAGTAATGAAGTGTGTTACATACCAACACATGATAAATGAAGCCTAAGGTCTACAAATATTTTACTAGGCAGCAGCATATTTGCAATTTTTTAATAGTTTTATTTATTATAAGCAAATTAATCACTTGACATTTCATTAGTGTTCAGTTTCCTGTAGATCATTAGCACATGATTTTTTTTGAGAGCAGTTTATGTGATGTGCAAAGAATTACAGCCAGAAGGTTCATTTGAAGGACAGAATCTTTTATATTTGTTTTAAAGTATTCTCATTATGATGACAATACATAGCATTTATTTCCAGAAGTGATGATGGCAATTACCTCTAATATTTATGAGTTTTAAAAAAAATTAAAATTGCTGATCAGAGGTCTCCACCTATCCTACAAAGTAGAACCAAAGAGGCTGCCATAGTAGTAGCAGTCTTAATTTCCCTCCTCTATGTAGCTTGGTGGTTTCAACATATCAAACAGAGCTTCTCTTAAAGTAATTATAAAAAATAAAATACTTAGTTGTCACATCAAATATCCATTTATCTGAGCATTTTATTGCACTGAAAGGAAAAAGATAACATGAAGATAAAGCAGCTTTGAAATACTAGAGCTAATGCCACCATATTAACTACAGCTAGTCAGAAAAGTTGAATGGAACAGGGTTTCATTAATTTCTGAGGTTCAAGGCCTTCTCAGATGACTGATGCAGGATCAGAATCTAATTTTGCTATGCACCAAGATGCACAAGGACTAAGGGCAGCAATGGGGAAGAGTTGCAGTCTGCACTTGGATTTCCCCTGCTTCCTGCAAGATCCCTGCACACCAAAATGGTTTTGTCTAAAGACAAAGTTACAGCCCAAAAGTAGCCTGGATTGGTATTTGATTATGTGGGTGTGATTTTTCATTTAATTTTAGAATTGTTGTAAAAATTAAAGGTGTTTTTCAAACAAAAGAAGGTGGATGCAAAGTATCACATAATTATATTTATGCATTTCACCTTATAAAGACAATTGTAACCACTTATTTAAAGCAAATATTTTCATTCTGGATATTATTTACTTTCTTTGGTTAGAAGGCTCAGTTGTCTGGTGGTTTTACACATTTGCCAAAGCAACATTCCAGCAGATCCAGGGAGACCTGACAAGATGTTGTCTCCATCCAATATGTTAATAAAGGCAGCATTCATTGGGCAATACCAAAAAACTTGTGGTAATTTTTAAAAAATGGTATGATTGTTCATGAGATTTGTGTGGTTAGAGTGAGAAAGGTGGAAGCCTTCCCAAGAGACTGCTTTCTGACATAATTTTTAAAAATAAGCCCTTTGTCCTTTCTTAATACTTTCAAGAAGATTAGTTTGGCAGATGCCATATCTGCAGATCTCAGATGAAAATATGGGTCAACCAGATTTGTACAAGTAAAGAATTTTCAGCTTTCCTGAGATTTCACTGGGCAAAACCCTGACTTTCCTGTGATCCCTCAGACACTACACCTATGAAACCAAGCCTCACTTGCAAAAAGGCCGTGATCCTGAGATGTAGCTCATTCTCGAGCTGTGAGGTCTGTAAACCAAATGTTTCAGTCTAGTTCATATTGCAAGGTGGGCATGCGCCTCATTTGAGTCAACATTGAAAACGCTGTACAAATTTTTTTGTCATCCTGATCATCTTCACAAGAGTTTACATTCATATTTTTTTAATTGTAATGATATAACCAATCCTTTATTTAGTACACTTGAATATTGTTTTCATAACAAGGTTTTAGTAAGTCTGACAGACATTAACCCTTGAAGAAAATGGATTAGTAAAGCCAAAAGTTTAGTACTAGTACTGGTTTGAATCTCTTTTTAGAAGTGGTTGCTGTATATAAGCTGTTTTCAAGAATAAGTTTCTAAGTTTTGCCTTACTCCACTTGCAGGTGATAGAAATAGCTCTAGTGCTTCAGCAGCTTGTAGATATGAAATTATGGCTACTGTATTTTTGAAAGGTCCTGTCCCAAGCCCTTCTTACACACTTACCTTTTTTTGTCCTTGTATCCCAATCTTACACCCTCTCAACTTACCATCTATTCCTTCCACTCCCTTCTTGCCATCTCAGTCTCACTAGCAGTCTCCCAGTCTCCCCATTCTGAGTTTTCCAGTTCTTTTACACTCCCAGATGCACACCTCCTTTTTCAGACTTTCTTGACTTACAGCCTTACTGAGACCTAACTCAAGGCTTAGGATTTTTGCTGCTCCAGTCACAAGGACTAGACATTTATGAGAGCTGGGCCAGTGCTGCTGCAGGAATAGGAGGTGTAAAAATGGGCCTGGGAGTCAGAAGAAGGGAAAGGATCCTGGGGAAATGCTCCTGAGGCAGCCGGGGTGGGAACGGGAACTGATGATCACTGGTGATACCTGCCAACACCTCACAGCCAACACCATTCCAAATAAACCCCGACTGTTTCTCCAGGCAGGAACAGCTATCAACTGACTGTGTAGCCAAGGCAGGCAGCTGTTTGCCCAGGTAGTCGGCTCGCTTGCCTGTGCCCCTGCACTGCTACTCCTGCTCCTCGTGCCCAGCTGCCCCAGGCCCCCGCGCTGCCCTGCCTGCCTGCTGCCTGCCTTCATTCCACTTAGAAACTTTCCCAGGTGGGATCAGATGTGAGAGTCTGCAGGTGGACGAAGGGAACTTGCCAGAGGAAAAGGGAGCGTACGGTGGATCCAAGCTGGGTGGTACCCCTGTACCTTCTCATGTCATACTAACCTTTTACTAGATTTGGTTAAACTATCTGGGAGTTTGTTTTTCCACCTTGTAGGACCCTCTTTGTCTGTCTAAAATAGTCTATAGATGAGTAAGCCACAAGCCCATGCTTGAGAGAAGAAAGGAGAGATAAACAACTGGTTTATTATTGGAAGAGCAAAATCTACATCTCTAGCATGTTTTGGTTGAGATAATCTTAGTGTGTCCTTTGCTTATGTATTTATCTATAGATACATGCAAATCTTACAACTTTATTGTATTTTTATATTCCTGAACCTGTAGTTATGGTAAGAAAATCTGTTCTGACCTTAAAATGTACTAGACAAGAAAGTAAGATATGACCTTCAACTCATTTTCTGCTTAGTAAAAACATTTGACTTGAGAGGAGTCAGATTGTTGGTGTGCAGCCTGTATGTAAACACGTCTCACAAACAGGGACCTGTTTATATATGACTAAAAAGAGGAAGTATTTCTGACAAACCTGGTCGTGTTTCAGCTACTACCGGATCCGTAACATCTGATGGTTTCCCAACACCAGCCTGGTTTGTTGCCCGCACACGAAACACATAGCTCACACCTTCTTTAAGGCCACCTATCTGGAGGAAGCAAATATACATACATGCATGATGTGTTACAAAACAGTGATTTTAATTTCACACTTCTTACAACTCCAGTCTGGATGCTTGACAATTATATTTCCTTTCTTTTTGTTTTGCTCCTTTTTCAGTTGACAATTATTTCTTCCTCAAGTTTTTGTTTTGTTTGTTTGGGTTTTTTCTTCCAATTCCAGAGTGACATGCCAAATCTGTTTGGCTTGATCCTTCCTTGTATGCATAGATAACATTTAGGCAGCGTCATTACTGTCATTGATTTCTTTGCAAAAGGAGCATTGTGATTGGAACAGAATGTTTTTAACTCACGTACATTGACCTCTGAAACAGCATAGTCTTTTACTGCAGGTAAATTCTGGCTTTCAAAAATGAAATTAGAGTAATAAGTGCCAGCCAAACCTATTTAGAAACAGGAGGGCATTTAATTGTACAGATTTAATTGTAGTGACTTGAGGAATCATACAGACATTGTAACACCTGCAAATACTCCTTTAAAGCGTATATGAAAGGATCACACTTAAACGTGAGTTGTCTTTCAAATGTTCTGAAAAGCATACAAATACAAACCTACCTAAAACATATGTCTAGAACAGAGATACAGCTAATCCCTTACTTAGAAGTCATTCAACAAAATGATAGAGCATGATAGTGCAAAAGCTTGGGTTTAACTTGCCGTGAAATGTGAGGAGGGGGTACTTCGTATTAGAATCACCTGCCACATTATCACATCTATTTTTGTCCCATTTGGTTTTGAGTAGTGATACCTATCTTGCCATTCCAGGTAGAAAATACTAGGGTTGCCTCCTTGCGTTATAAGAACAGTGTTTGGTTTTAGCAGTGCTTTCTTTTATTTTTAGGCTGTACAGACCAAATTGTCTTCTGAGTTAGTGTCTTGTCTGACTATACAGGCATTACACATGTGTATCCTCAGCACAACATAAACTACTATGTATTTCATTAAATGGAACCATGATCAGCACAGGATGATGCTAGTGAAGGCTAACTTCCTCAAGATTATACTGTTATATCAGTATTTGAATCTTAAGCTATTTACCTTCAAGAATTTCTTTTGAAGTGGCTTCTCATTAACACTTCTCCAATGTTCCTCCTTTGCTTCAGTTTCCTTCATATCAACATAATAACCAGCTATGGGACTACGGCCAGTATAAACTGGTTCCTTCCACAGTAAAACCAAAGAGTCCTTCCTAACTTCTATGCATGTGACATCATGGGGTGGCCCTGAAAGGTAAGAGTAGAAGTTGGAGTTGTGGTATCAAAATAAATCCCAAAAGGGCTAACGTATAAAACTTCAAAAACTAAAACCAGACACCATGTTGTACACACAGAGCTGACGTAACACATGCAGCTCCTCTTTATCATGTTGAAACCCGATATAAATACAATCCAAGCCTATTAAAAAGACTAGGCCAAAAACCAATGCAATTTGTTGAGATTTGGTATCTTGATCAAATATTCATGAACAAACAAAATCAATAAATAATCTCCAAACTCAGTGAAATAAGTTAATTATTAAGCTCATGTGCTGCTTCAAGGACCACTCTAAAGTCCACTGAAGTCAATGGAAGTTGTTTTCATTCATTTTAACGAGTGTTGAAAGGCCAACAATCTGGCCTTGAAGTGATACATTTAGACAAGGGTTACAGGACCTCATTCTTCTCTGCCTTGTACCTAAGGCAGGTATTTATGTCTACCTTTTAATCTAGAAAGCAAAGTGGCAGACATAATAGAGGAACCAAGCAGGAAAGATTAAAAAAACACAAGCTGCTTGTAAAATACTACTGTTTAAATAGGGATTGTTTAATGCATATTATAAATGTGCTAAATCAAAATTATGGAGATTCAAGCCTGAGTATGAACTTCAGCAGCTGTTGACTCCCTTGGAAACTGAAGGCATTGAGAACTTAAATGATTGATCACAGAGCACCCCTGGGCTATGAATAACCTTCACCTCCAGCTCAGGATCCTACCAGGTACAGCAATGGTCCATTCTTCACATTTGAAGGGCTGGCTGGGTAGGGAGGGTGTCCCAACCCCAGCCAGGTTAGCAGCAGCCACCTGGAACTGGTACACCATGTTTTCCTTCAGGTTTTCAATCTGCAGAATCAAGAAGATGCTACTTATTAACTTTGTATTAAGGCTTTAGAAGAAAGTCACAATGAAAATTACTGAACTCATGAGTATGCTTTTAAGTGCCTGAAGAGATGAAAGCGTTATTGTCATCATATATAAGGTGATAACTATTTTGGCTTTTCCTCTAATCAGTGGTGGAGCATACGTGAATGGTTTTAGCACATTCAAATTGTAAACTCCTTTTCCTATTGATAGACACTCTGGCAGTCAGGGAGGGAGCAGGTTATTGCTCAACAGTCATATTAATCTGTCTCGTGATACAGAGCAAGTTCACTTAAGGCAAGAGTTGTCCTCACAGTGGGGTGAAGCTCAGTCCTGGCATTGTTTTTCATTTATAAAGCAGCTCAATGGGGCTGTAGTTAGCTCTGTCTCTCAATTGAGTCAAGAATAGATCACAAAACACATCTGGCACAGAGCTGGTTCCAGCACCAGCAAGCACTGGGGTAGGTCCACCAAGACCAGTAGGAATGCCATTTGTTCTGAGGGCCTGATTTAACAAAAATTCAGGCTATGCCTAGAGTAGTGAATTCACAGATGACAGCGGGTGCCAGACTAACAGATAAGTGTACAAATCATTTTGCAGAGAAGTTTAACAGAGCTAAATAAATTTATCATCATGGATATAAAACCCTCTGAACAGTAGCCTGTACCCTGAATCATAATTCATCCCAATCTGCCTTTGAGATTGGTTTTGGAAATATCGTTTGCACCCACAGCAATACACAAGTTAACCTCCTACCCGGTATGCCCTCTCACTAATGGCTTTGATGTTGGCCTCCATCCATTTCCCAGGAACTCCATCAACCACTTCGCGATAGTTCACGTAGTAGCCAGTAATTTCAGTTCCGCCAGTGACTTTAGGTTGTTTCCATCCTAATGCCATCGAGTCACGAACACTCTCAAGTACCATGATGTCATAAGGTGGAGATGGAGCAGCTGTTCCAATGTGAATAATACATAAATACGAAGCAATATTTCAGTTACCACACTCAGGTGGCTCCCATCCTACATCTCCTAATTAGGACAACATTTATGTGGTCAAGGGAAGTTTCTGGAGTTGGAATAAGAAATGCAGGATAAAAGCTTCTGTAATCGAAATGAAAAAGTCCAAGCTGCATAGGAATTAGTTATCAGGATCATTTGTTTTTTGAGAAGCAAGCTGATACATAGCGAAAGAATGTGTTGCAATTGCAGCTCTGATGTAAGTGTAGAGGACTCACTTTAAAACTGTGAAAAATGAGGAACTAAAACTAACATTACAGGGAAAATAATTTTTAAAAAGAGGTGCAATGATTTGGGTTTTTTTGCTGAATGCAAACCCTTTTTCACACATACAATATTTGTTTTAGTTAAGTTTTTTTTAAATAGGCCCACATTCTTCTGAGAACAGATTTTATCTGTTCATTCTTCTTTTTTTCTTTTAAATTTATATACTGTGCAAATTTTATCATTGCACCCATCACATGATCTTACCTTATGGGAAGGAGGCGTGATCATATGCACTGTAGACTGACCAGAAATGGAACATGTCTGTTACTGGAACTCCTCTTTTTAAATATTTTTTTTAACAATACAGAAATCGTTAACTTCATCCCAACCCATTTTCTTATAAAGCCTTTTCTGCATCTAGTGGGGAAATGCTTGCCCACACCCAATATGTCATGCAACAGTGAAGAGCGCTACTTGTGATCCTGAAGTCCTAATTTTGATGGAAATCCTACATCATATATGTTTAATTTTGTCTTTAATGTTTTATATCAGTATCAGCTAGCCCCAGGTGTCCCTACATTGTTTTCTGTTCAACACTCTGCACAAGCCTTTTGAGTCTCACTTCAGAGGCCAGGTACCGGGACTTCAATGAAATTTAAACCCCACATTTCCAAGGCACAACGGGTGTTCAGGTTTTGACAACATAAAATGTGATTTTGTGCATGTGCCTTCAACTTGATAGTTTTTCCTCATCACATATTGCTGCCAGTCAGAAATACAACACAGCATTCATGTCTCAGAGGACAAGCTGTAGCTTAGGCATAAATCCACAAAGAATCTTCATATATCCTAACACAACACAGATTTTCATAGATTTTTTTTTTCCTTCACACATACATAACCCACAGACTAGGTAACAAGACTCCTAACAAATTACTGAAGTGATTTACAAATAATACAGTACCTTGTATACATTAATATGTAGCCAAGCAAGAAATTAAATTAGTACATGGATTTATATGTTTCACTTTCACTAGCCACTAATGTTGTAAAGTGGTCTCCGATACATGCATAACAATCTTAACAGACAGTTGAGCACATAATTAATGGGTCTGATGGAAGACGCTTCACTGGAGAGCACGTTCACCTGTGGCACGGATGAGCAGAGGGTACAACCATCTGAAGTGGATGTACCAAAGCAGTTAAATCCATTTATTTTATTAACTCTCACCTACATCTGTCTTCTTTGTCACTTTTTCCAGCGTCAAAAGGTCCCCGGGTTGAGACTTACTTGCCTGCTTAGGAGCAACCTTTCGTGGTGCAGATGTGACAGCATCCTTAACCATTTCTCTCATGTTATTGTCTCCTGTACTCCTCAGTTTGTCAGAGCTACTGGGTAATGTGTCTCTATTAAATCTAGCGTTGCGTTTTAGCAAAGCATCTGTGTCAAAGATAGGCTGGGAGGACTCATGCATGCCTTCCCAGCTGGTAGTGCGGTCTGTTAGTCCACCAGCTTTACCACTCAGTTCAGGACACACACCATGAAGCAATCCTCCCCCTATAATTGCCAGAAAACAGCAAAGACATTTTGAATTAGAATACACTGTTTTTTCTTGGTTTGGTCAACACAATGAAGAAATGCGTACAGTGAACAATACAGCCAAAGTATGACAAATCACAGGTTTTATGCACAAAAAGTTAAGCTTGAATTCACTAAAATTTGAAATGCATAGAATACCTCTCAACCTGCTCACAAGTAACGCTCTTTTAATAATGTCTACTTTTCAGAGCAGAAGAAATATAGAAAATGAATGCTAATGTTAATTTGCTACAGTAATTTCAGTATTATATCCTCCAAGTCATATTTCTGATCCTTTCAAGATGATCTCACAAACTTGCCCCAGACCACATCTCTCTCCTCTAAGGTTGTGAGGTATGCCGTTTTGATACAAATGAGAGTGAGGTTGTTGCAGACATACAATTTATTCCAGCACAATGATCTCATTAATCTTTATAGATTAGTTCAGGCAGTGGCAAACAGAAGTAATTCATCAGCAAAGGGAGAACACACAGGGTTATAGAAGGTTTACAAAAAACACATGGCACTGATTATTAGGTTTCAGTATGGAAACAAATTTCTTAGGAACTGACTGTATACAGGATGGTGAGTGTTACAGGTGATAAATACCACATGATGGAATCAGAATGACATTCCATTTTCCAGGATACCTATGAAGTGAACTTGGTAGTGCTGTCGTACAGTGGTTCACAAGAAACACCTGAGGAAGACTGGATGGTGAAGGTGAACAGCCTACAAGTGCGCAGGGACTGTGAAACTATGGGGCTGTGAAGCCATAGGATCGATCGATAAATTATAATTTGTGCACAGCATTGTAAACCAAAACAATTAGTTAAAAATATTTGCTAAAAACATCTTTACTTAATTAAAAAAAATATTTACCATTGAAAAGAGCAGCGGAAAATAGCTTACCAATGGCTGCTTGCACTTCTATAGGCTCCGAATCCTGTGAAAATTCACTGAGTCCTGCTGCATTAACAGCTCTGACTCTGAAAATGTACTTCTCACCATTGATGAGCCCATGGCAAATGAATCTAAAACAAGCCAGTGAAAGAATATTTAGAAAGTATTATGAAGAAAATAAAAATCTTAAGGGGGAAAAGAAAGCATTTCTTCCATAAAATTTACTCTGGTTTCTGAAGACTGAGGATAAACCGTGATCCCAGTCACTTAAATGAAAGTCAGAGAATGCAGAACATATCTAAGCTCCTCATCCACGCAATGAAGATAATGTCTAAACCCATGTCTCTTTAGACATACAGTTTACCCACAACCTAAAAAACTTAAGACAAACTAGTTTATGTGTTACCAAAGGGTTTACATCACTTCTCTTAGTATATAAAATCCATACATCCTAATAGAAACAATGCAAAAATCTTCAGAGATAAGGTCTATATTTGCTTGTGGGATATCTTCATGACACAAGTAAAAGACATGTGTAGCACAAGTTCCTGTAATTCATTTCCAATCATAAATGAAGAATTGCGGTGTTCAGAAGAATTACAAGGCACTGTCCAAGAGCTAAAAAAAAATGTTTGTTTTTTTTAAAATTTTACTTTCTTGCTTCTGTACGTGACACAATAATCTAAGTCAGACAAACTTTTATCAGCATAGTTTTTCTGCTGGATTACCTAATGATAACATAAAAAAACCTCATAAATTTTCTCTGGTGTCCATCCTGAAAACACTAAATTTCCCAAGACAGGAGTAATTTATTTTAGAAAAACTGTGTTTTGGAAATTTAAACATTTTAATTAAAACAACATTTATTCTTCAATAGATATTTTAAGTGTATTTTATCTTATGTTACTTTTATCTTATTCTGTTTCATAGTGTCATGTCTTGCACTACCAACACTGATGTCATGCAATGGTGTACGAGGCACATATAATGTGGAAAACAAAATGTATTTCAAGATCAAAATTTTATTTTGGGAAAAAAAATAAAACCTGAATCAAAATTTTCAGAGAAGAATTTTCCCTACCCATTCTACCAGACTTTTCCAAATAACTAGCTTTCATCAGCATGTGTGCAGAAAACAAATTTCAAAAGATCAAAATATACTGCATAATGCAAACTATGAACTACAGCTAATGCTTTGAGATTGACTCAACCAGAAAAGCCAAGAGTTAACAGACAGCCTGTGCTTGACTGCTTCATACATTATATCGCATCGACTAAAAATGTGTTGATAGGAACCTGAGCAGTGTAGTTACACCACAATATATAGAAACTCAGAACAATATTTTTTTCGTGGTGAATAAAGATCACATTTCATATTTTAAAATAAGCAAACAGCACAAAACTTCACCAGCACTTGATGTAACCACAATATAAATCATATGAAAGTATGTAATATGGGCACTTACAGTTGTTGCAATATAAATGCACAAAAGAATATGTGAAGGAAATTGTTGTGCTTGTGTTCAAGCAAGTAGGGTTTTAGGTACTTCTGATATACTAAGTGTTTACAATGGCCTTCTAAACAATAAAGTCAGTCCAAGAGTATTTAGCAGAGCCTTACTTATTGTAATAAATGTTGTCATGGATAGCAATTACAAATAAGCATAAACAGCCACAACAAGCAGGGACTGCTTCTGGATTGACAGCAATCCACTTGAAATCAAGTTCTGCAATTACTCCTTCAGACTCTGAAGATCATATCCTTATTCAAACAAAACCAAAGCTGATTTAGCTTGCAAAGTTTTAAATCTTAATTAATTTTCTGACTAGAGACTGAGCTTCACATCTGTAAGAAATGTGAGTTTATACCAAACATCTAAAAGTGTTCATTAATATATTAATTACAAGTGAAAGTACAGTTAGAACATAATATTGTTAGCATGATATAGTCCACATTTCCTCCTGACATTCTAGATATACAGTCCAGAAGTGTTTGCAGGAGTCTTCCAAAACAAATGACTTTGCTTCCAAGCATTAAGCAGTTTAGTTTTCCACATTTTTAACTCCAGTCATTCCTTGCTGTACTGTTTTTCATCAAATTAATAGGCTGTACAATAGCTAAAACTAGCAAGCCACTTCCCTTTTCTTCACTAGCAATATCCATGTTTCCTCCCCCTTGACTAATTGTTTCTAGTACAAGGTTGATTATCAATTCCTTTTGGACAATACTGGCAGTTTGAAAAATTCTTTTAATAACTTCTTATGGACTTCACCTGCAAGAGTGATTCCTGCCTACTGGCTACCACAGAGTGATTAACTCTACTACTCCTAATGGCTGGAAAGCACGTACACCCAGTAAATAAAAAAAACTGGTGACCATCATTCCCATGCTTTGAAATCCATTACCTTGTGCCTTTCACTGGATTGTTGTTGCACGGTTCCCAATGACCAGATCCAACTACACTTGACTCAATGTAGTACCCAACCAGCTCCTTGGCATCTGGGGGCTCTGTCCAAGTGACAACAACTGAGGTATCTGTATTCCTAGTTGGCATAACACGCCCAGGAGCTTTGGGAATATCTGTGGGAGAGAAACAGAAATAAATCAGTGACCAGGCAGTCAAAATTTACAAATAAAATAAGAGTGACATTCTATTCTTGATTTTATTAGCACAGCTAACACAGATTTAACCTCCCAAAACTGCTCTGATTTCAGTCAAGTAATCTGGCACAGCAGGACAGGATCAGTAGGTTTAAGCTTTTGGCGCTGAGGTTCCCCATGTCTCCATTGCCTTTGGTTATGGGCATTTCCTTCAAATTAGATTTAGTTTCTTCCCTTGTGCTGAACATATGCGCCAGAGATGTGATTTGGAGCTTTCTAAAAGGGAAAAGGTGTTAGGTGCACACTGAAGGATTTTATGCAGCCCACAGAATAAGTCAGAAACAAAAGCCCCTGTTAAGTAGCAAAATGCATCTATAGTGTTTTTCAAGAGGAGCTGATTTACTCTTCTTCTTAAAGAATGCAGTTCATGTGCATCAAACTGCTCTGAGAACTCAACCAGTATGAAGTAAACAGAGACAATCTAGGAACTGAATTCAAATCATCCTTGCCTTTTGGAAACAAATTACTAATGTAGACATAGCTACTGATGCTTTAAATCTTAGCTTTTCTTCCAGTGAAAATAGTCTCTGTATTCATGTAAGTATTAAGTTCTTCACTTCTGTTTGATTTGGCAAACAAGGAAGGTTAAACTCTGCTGATGTCTGGGCTTATTTTCAACAAAGACTCTAAGTAAAACAAAACATTTTTGTACTTCCTTGAGTTTTCATTTTATTTCACTATTTGCAGCCTTTGCAGTTCTTGGCATTGCTATTTACAGCTTAATTCTCTTGGTTTGCATCTACAGTTGACTACATATTGAAGGTTCAACAACACAAACCAAGATTATTTTACCTAAAGGGAATACATCACTGACTACTCTTCATGCTTGAATTAGTTACTGGGCAGCTATCTATCTTCAGACAAAACAATTACATGGACATAATTTTCTACATAAGACCACACACATACCGAGTTTGTCATCCACCACAGTGGCTTCAGTTGCTTCTGAAGGTTCACCGATTCCAGCTGAATTGCAACAGCGAACTCGGAAGCTGTAGGATTTGCCTTCAGCCAAATCAAAAACTGCAAAGCGGGGAGACTTCACAGGGATCTCGGTGTTCACCCTTTGCCAGTCCTCTGTGCCGGCAACACACTGCAGTCAAACCCAGAAACTACATTTGAAACAGAAGTCTCTGAAAACTGAGTGTCTAACCCTGCAAGACTTTCTACCTGGACCACCAAATGCATGTCTGCTGTGGAGAACAGGGAGTCATGTTCCTTTTTTGGGCCTTTCCACTAAACGAGCCTATTTCAAAGCTTACGAATCTGCCAGATGTCCACCTACTCCAGAAAACATACATGAAATCTTACTGGTTTTAATATGCCAAAGCTAAACTACTCTCCACCACAAGGAAGTGATGTTATTATTAACTGCACTCAGTTCTGGACAACTTTCAAAAGAAGTTCTGTGGACATTCAACATCATCCAAAGAACAAAACTCTAAAATTGACACATTGCTTCTAGGTGTTCTTGTGCCACTCCTGAGAATGTTTTTGAGGTGGCTTCCAGAATAAATCAGGAACTGATCTTCATTTTCCAGAAAAAAATTAACATGTGCAATTAATTTTTGAATTGTTTTTATTTCTGTGGCTAGGCGCTCCACATACCATAATCACTTATACCATTAATATTATTGATTAATTTTTGCCTGTGATTTACATTAATTTCAAATAATGATTCTGGTTTCTGAGGCATTTCAAATTCTCAGGAAAACATCATCTGACTATGTGACATTTGTGGGTAGTACTCAGCATACAATAGGTTATTAAAAAGCTTTCTTATATAGAAACTCAAAATTCATATATTCATCCTCTTTAAATCTGTTGCTAAGTGAAACTCATTTATTTAGACCAGATTTCATAATAGAGATGAAAAACACATAATGGGAGGATATTTATGTCTCCCATGATGACACCTCTAGACTGACAGGAAAAAGCATTGATAAAAAAATTTGTGAGCCATGAGATACAAGAAAAAAGAGTGATGGCATTGAAAATTTTCTAGGATAGCAGCTGTGCAAAAACCATCTCAGAAAAGCAGGACACTGATGTTAAAACTGACTCTGTTCTAGAAAAGAAATCTTGTCTTCTTTGTTGAGTTAGTGAAGCAAATGGAAAGTTAATGTAGAGGATAAATATGAAAAGGCAGCTGGAGGAGAAACTGCTGATGCCAAAAAACTCTTGCAGAATGCCTCCATCCAAAATGTTAATGATCTATCCCACCAGACAAGCTTCATTTATACAGATTTTATTTTTTATCTATATGTATATATTTAAAATATATGTTTTTTTGCATACATATAGATAAAAATATGTGACTTTGGTCTGTACTTTCTCGTTAAAGAGGGAGTTTGTCAGCCTGTCTACCTCAGGGCTGGTCAATGACAAGATTCATGAAAGGATATTACAGTGTGTGACACATTCTGCATCTACTTTCCTATTTCCTATCTTTCTTTTCTTCCTAGTTTATCTGAATCAACAGTAACGGTTATCTTGATGAAGTGTACAAGTTTAGTCCTGGCCCTAGTTTGAAAGTCTCAGATGGAAATCAAAGTTAACTAAAAGTCCAGAAGAGATGGCAAAACAAATATAAAAGATTGACACAACATTATTCTGATTTTGTCCAATTTTACCTTCTCCACAAAATACATGATACCCTCATGGCCCCGCTGTCCAGGAGGCTTCCAGCTAAGCACAACGTAGTTCTTGGTGGCTTCAATAACTCGGAGGTCTGTAGGTGGACCAGGAACAACACCCTCTGAAGAACAGAGGACAAGAATAGGAAAGAGAATTGGGATTTAATTCCTTCATATTTGTATAAAAATTAGTGCCATAATTAAAATATAGGAGTATTAATATACCTTGGCACTTGAAGTTTTTTGAAAACATAGAGTTACAAGTCTTCTAAATATTGGTTTTATATGTCTTCCTTTTAATTCTAAGCACTTTTATTTGTTAGGTCCTGAATAATGGAACCTCACCTCGACAACAAAACTGGGAGTTATTCAGGGTCAAGTGACTCTCGGAACAACGAACTTTGGGCATGTGCCAAAGTCCACTGAACTCACTGTGAGTTTTTCTAATTACTCAACCAGCTTCACATTAGACTTTAGTAGGCAAAAGGGCTGTGTTTACCTGCAGGTTCTTCCTCAGTGACAATAATCTGCCCAGTCCAGGGAGCGGAAGGGTGACCTGAAACAGATAGTGGAGGCATCATGGACATGGGAGACTTCAGGGACTTTGGAAATAAGGAGAAAACCAGCTCTTTTGTGGTTCAAAACTAACATTTGCAAGATTCACGTGAGCTCCATTTTTGGTCATTGCTGTGGCTGTTGCTCAAGTAGCAAGCTAGTTACCCAAGATAGTTGTAGGCTGACTGGCTTGAATATTGAGCTCAGCAATCATTATAAGTAGAAAATTTAATCCACTGAAACATCTGTTCCTTCCTGAAATGTCACTGAGGTCACCTAGGTGACAAGGAGAGGTATTTGGCTCCCTCAGCTCATTGTTTTCAGAGAATTAACTTCAACTTTACTTTCCATACTCTATTCATTTGGTTTAACAGCTCACTCATTAAAGGAACAGCCAAATTCCTTCAGGCTGCTCTTTGTCTCTTTTTAAGCACTTTCCCTCACATTACCAGCTTTCAAATCGTGGGTCATAATAACAAAGAGAAACAGCTCAGCATGACTCAGCATATACACTTGGTGAGATTTACGTGGCTCTCTCGGCACCTCTGTGTGATCGTATTATTGCAGTCATGCACTGAGCTATTAACCAGGTCAATGCTCTTTCAGAAATAAATTTTGCAAAGGCTGTTCTCAACTCCACATGCTGCACCTTACATTGGCTGATCTCTTTTGGAGATGTGAGCAGAGAGGGAGCAGGTGGGGAGAAAAGAGACTCATGAGGGAACGAGAGGAGGAGAAATAGGGGGAATAGGCCACTGAGACCAGACTTAATCTGTGGAGACAGCTTCCACACTTCCCGCTGAGAAGAAGAGGCCTTCTCCACTTCATGTTTCACATGTCTGTCTGAGCATAATGTTTCCTGGCAGTGCCAAACCTCCTTCCTCTGGCCTTTTGTTTTTATTTTGAATGGGAACCTTGATCATCTGACTGCAGTCTGTAGCTTGCAGCATTATGTACAGTAAGACATACAAGCTGGGACCATGGGAGCCCTGTAGCTTTGCATACACTAACCCTTCACATTGGACCATTTTAAATAGCAAAACTTCAGAAACAAGTAGAAATAACTGGATTTTGGGCATACGATTTTGGCATATGGGTAGACAGGTGGATTTGGAAATAAAATGGCAGGGACATTGCCAGGCCACAGGAAAAATATCCTGGACTTGTCAAGTGTTACATGTAAAGCAGAGAGCTTGTTATCTATTAGGCTACCATGGCATTGTGCTGATGCTACTGCAAGACTTTGAGCGTCCCATGAGAACAGAATCAACCACCCTTGTCTGTGGCACAGAGAGAGACTCTTCACAGGATCTGTTCAACTTTTTTGTTGGTGAAACTAAAGCAAGTTTCTTTAGGCAATTAGTCCTCCTGTGCCTTTTCCCACCTTCCTGCAAGTTTGGAGCATAGCACCACAGCCAGCCAAAGCCATTTCAGCAGACAGACCACTTTGTGCAAAGAGCACTGAGATGACTTCTTGGCAAAGCTGTCTCCAAAGAATATTTTATTTTTGCTTGTCTCCCTCCAGTGGGATTTCAAAGGCTTGTGAGTAGATAGGAATACTTGGTACTTTTTTTTTTAATGAGTTGTGACTTCTTAAACCTCTCAGGCAACCTGCGAAAAGCACATCTTACTTCTAAGCCTGGCTCTGTCAGCAGGATCCAGAGCAGCCACAGGCTCTGACACCCGGGACGGCAGGCTAATGCCAGCTTTGTTCACAGCTCGGACTCGGAAAATGTAGGAACGGCCTTCAATCAGACCAGTGACAGGAAAACGAGCAAACTTCACAGGAGTCTCATTGCACTGGGTCCAGTGGGTGGTGCCAACCTCACACCTGAAAAATACAAACAGCAAGAGCAGTGCTGTGAAGGAAAAAATGCAAACCCACCCCCCCCTCACAGCTTCACCATCTGTTCCTGTTCATTGTCTGGTCCATACCAGTTTCCTCAGCAGTGTCATTTACTGGTGACATCAAAGCAGCTGCACCAAGGGGTCAGGGCTGAAGTACAATCTGGGCATGCACTAAATCCCCTGCAGCTGCACTCCTTGCCTGAACTGAGGAAGAGACACCAGCATACTCACTTCACTGCTTAAACCCTCCAAAGTGTGTTTAGGGACTGCCATTTGTAGTACTTGAAGGGACATGAAATAGATGTATCCTTTGCAGCTGCCAGAAGGCAGCTAGCTCATCTTTCATGCAGGGTGCTCCACTGTACATCCTGCAAAATAAGCAGCTTCACGGGGAGTGTAGAACTTGGTCATGAGTTCTGTGACCAGCCCAGCATGCAGACGGCTGTGAGTAGGGTTAAAGTTGGGCACTCGGCCAGACCCTGCTTCAGACACCACTGGGGCTGCCAAGGGAGGCTGCGGTGCTGTGGCTGGAAGCACTGCCGGCGGGCTGCTGCTAAGCCTCACACCTGGCAGGAGGCTGGTTTCTGGCAGAAGGAAGAGATAACCAGCAGCAGGGAGGGACTTCAGCTCAGGGAGCCAGAAGGAAGCTGTGGGGATGGCTTCCCAGTATCCAGCAAGATGGTTGACAGGAACATGAACCAGGAGCTCTGGAAAGACTTTTTATTGCTGCTGAGATATCTGCCAAAGTGAATGTTATGGTGCCTGTCCAGATTTCTGGGTAGATGTGAGCATCTCTTTTCTGGGAGTTGTTACGGTCTCACTCCGGGTGGTTTTGTGGTTCTGGTTCTGCTTTGCTCAAGCTTTGCCTCTAGCCTTAGCATACACCGGTTCTGCTGCCTCGGGTGTCCTGCTGACAATGTGAGGCAGTTGGGGGCTACCCTGGATGAATATTTGGGGGCCAAAAATACCTTTGGTAAGATTAAATACTGGAGAGCAGTAACAAAGCTTTGAATTTAAGAGCAAATGTAGAATAAAGGAGGTGAACACAAGAGAAAAATCAAAGTGCCATTTGTCTCACAGTTACTCTCAGTGCTAACATACCTCAATAGCCTAGTTTTAAAAGAGATATTATTTTTCAGAGTCTAGTCCTGTCTTTTGCTTAGGATTTTTCCATTAATGTTAAAGAGCTGTAGCCTATACCTGACACTACCTAGTTACGGCAGCAATTGACACTCATAAGTTATTAAACCAATAAAATTATATTTGAATTGAATGTACTAATGTTAGATTTGTTTCATGAAGCAATGCCCTCTTTTTACACATACATAATTTGTTTATATAAAATGGCATAATACAATGAGATATTTGTAAAACATATGTATGTAAGTTTGGGGTTTTTTACATGCATCAGAATAAGCCCACAGGAACTCCATATTGCTAATGATGTATTCTGTTACTGAAATTCATGTATTACCAGCTCTGCAGATCATTGCAAGTCTTCAAATACTAATTGCATTTCTTAAATCCTGAGCTTCTGGAGTCCTGCCACTGTGTGACACATTCAGTGTTCATATATTTTTAAATTATTTCAAATTCTTATTCTTGGAGAGAAAAACACATAAGTGTGATCTACACAAAGCTTGTGAATATAAGAGCTTGGAAAACAACAGCGCATAAAAGAACTCCAAGTCCCTTTGGGTTAATATTTTGCTTTCTGCTACGTGGTAACTATTTGGAAAGAGGAAGGAGAGCGCTGACACAGAAGGAGCCACAGCTGCCTGTGAAGGAGCTGATCCTATAAGCTACCAAATATTGCAAAGTCCCGAGGCCTCTCAAGCCTTGCAGGGAGCAGCAAGGGCTGAGCTGTGCAGTGTCTCGCAGAATCCTCTCTATGTAGCTAAACAAAGTAAGACATAACTATTTCAAAGAAAGATTAGGCCCAGCCAATCTAAACAAAAACAAGTAATTTTCTTCTGCCCATCAAGAAGAACGAAAATAACAAATGACCATTTTATGTCATGCTTTTAAACGTGCTTTTAGGGTTTTGAGTTAGAATGCACAGCAACGTGAATTCTCCAGTCTGGCATGCTCACTGACCTGTCAATGAAATATCCGAGGATGGGGTTTCCTCCATCAACAGCGGGCTGCTTCCAGGAGACAATGACATAATCTTTGTTGGCATCTAAGCACTGCACATCCAGTGGTGCACCAGGGGCTCCGGGGATTTCAGCATCAGCATCTATAAGGATGGAGACATACGTTTCCAAATGCGAACCACAGTTCTTCCACAATTATTAATCTGTAAGGAACGAATTCTGTTCCTACTGAGCCAAAAAAAAAAGAATTTCCATCACTGGCTTCAAAAAGTATTTGTTTTTATATTGACAGTGTTTTTCTATGTTTTGGTTTTCTCTTTGCCACATTTACAAATGCTTAATATGTTAGAGCATACTGTAAATGTAGTTCACCTAGGCATTTTAAATAAAATTAGCGACATGAGTTCTTGCTAGATAGCTGCCAGTGACATAGCTGAACTAAAAACTTGGCAGACTATATATTCATCTGCTATTCTGCTTAGGAGAAGAGGCCAATATCTTGCCTTACAACCAGGCAATAGCTCAATTGAAAGTATTTACCCGTTGGACACACAACACTGGATTAAATATCTTATCTCCACACATAGGCCTTCATTGTTTGTTTTTGGTTAGCTATGAACTGCAAAGGTATCAAAACTTTTTGAAGTTTAATTACATTGCGTATTCATTATGATTCTGGAATATAGCCTTCGTAAGGATGAGCATATTGTTCCTTTCAAGTGTTTATCACAAATCTTGGACTGCTGGTGTCAAAGGGCCTTGACTCCGGCATCAACTTCTGGACATATCTAAAGCTTTAAAAAAAAGGAGCCCAGTGCTAGGCACCGGGGAATTTTACTGTTTATACAGTCAGAGTCAGATTTGTAAGATGGGGTAATTTTAATCTAAAGAAAAATAACCTTTGCAGAAAGATTGTCTGACAGACTTTCAAAGAAGAGAGGTTGTTTCTCTGGCAGAGTGACATCTATTTGTACAATTACATGTAGCATTTTTCAAGCACTGTTGTGAGCTACTTCAAAAGAAGACCTGACTGAGACAAGAAAGATGTATATACCTGAAGAAAAAAATATTTTGCTAATAAATATTATTTATATATTCCATCTAAATCCCAGACTTCTTTAAAAGTTTAGAAGTTTTAAGATATTACAGGATTTTGTATTACAATATACAGTATTGTCTATTTTTCATGGTTTTAGCTTTCAGAAAAATATGCCTTGTAAATGTATTTAACATGCTTTAGGCTTCAGAAAAAACCCCACACTTTACACTGTGTCTTCTCTTGTAGACAGAGTAACATCACATGGAGCTTTTGAAGCAGCGCCGATGTTACCGAGCCCGGGTTCTAGTTACAGCTAACTTGGTGCATTTTAAAAAATGGTAACATACAGAGTAAGCAATCCAGTTAGCATAATAAAATAATAAGAACATTAAGAGTATTAAACAATATGTCTTCAGTGATCTCCATACAAAAGGTTTTAATTGCCCATATTTACCGCTTGACAGAACATGAGACATCACAGTTTCTTTCCAAGACAGACTAGGAAATAGCTGGGACACCCAACATTGCTGATCAGCCTCTGGGAGCCTAGGATTTCATCCCTAGTGGCTTGCTGACAAATGCCAACCTGTAGCAATGGCAGAAGAGTGACACACACTCTCTAAGCTCATCTAAAGATCTAACACTACGAGCCTGATAAGTCTCTCACTTCCATCAATACACAGAGGTTTCTATGCACAACACAGAAGACAAGTGCTTGTGCTTAAATACCGTAGCTAGCCATTTGTAGCAAATTTGCCTGCAATTTAAGAGGAGCAGTGAGGAATATACTAGCTAACTGAGACTGTGGGGACCATTTAAGTAGGAATGTATAACATAATCTAATTAGAATTTGGCAAACACACCGATTGGCTAGTAAGATACGCAGGTGAAAGGAGCAGTGGGTTCACAGTCAGGTCATATCTGCATTGCTAGAAGATGTAACAGGAATAACAGTGATTATTTACTCGTATGGCAGCACAATTTAAAACACAGCAAGAAAGACAAGTCCCATTTCTTGTCACAGATGCTCAGTTCAGTACTCTTCAGGTAATGAAAACATCTGCTTCAGTCATATTTTCTGAGCAGGCTGTTATCTCACACAGCTCTGCTGGACTTGGCAACACAGTGCCATTCTGGGCATGGTCTGACAGCCAAGAATTTCCCCAGCCTTTTGAATTAGCATTACACACTTCAGCTGCTTTTAGCAGCTGGGACAGATATAGAATCAGCACACAACCTGATAGCCATAGCTCCTTTTAAAGAAATATTTCTCTAATAGAAATTCAAGGAAGTTTTTCATGGTATAAGCAAACAACACCCAGAGAAATTACATTTTAATTCTACACTTTGCTGCTTTACTTAGAGAAGCACAAAATATTTGAGATTGGCAGACAACTCCAGAGATCACCGAGTCCAACCCCTGGCTCAAAGCAGGGCCAGCTAGAGCTGGTTGCCCAGGACCATGTCAAATCAGGTTTTGGATATCTCCGAGGATGGAGACTCCATAGTTTGTCTGGGTAACCTGTTCCAGTGCTCAACCACCCTTGCAGTAAAAAAAGGGGAGGTTTATGTTTAAATGAGCTTTCCTATATTTTAATTTGTGTCCATTGCCTCTTGTCCTGGCACTGGGCACCACTGAAAAGAGTCTGGCTCTCTCTTTTTTAGTTTGGCATGTGGATAAACTCCCCCTAAGCCTGCTCTTCTCCAGCCTGAACAGTCCCACCTCTCTCACCCTTTCCTCATGTGAGAGATGCTCTGAGCCCTTAATCTCCTGCACTGGACTCCATGTCTCTCTTGTATTGGGGAGCCCAGAACTGGATCCAGCACTCCAGATGAGACTCACTAGTGCTGAGTAGAGGGGAAGGATCACCTCCACAACCTGCTGGCAGTGCTCTTCCTAATGCAGCCCAGGATGCTGCTGTCCTTCTTTGCAGCAAGGTGTTCACCAGGACCCCCAGAATCTTTTCTGAAAACCATCTTTCCAGCTGGTCAGCCCCCAGCCTATACTGGTGTGTGAGTTTATTCTTCCCCAGATGCAGATCTTTGCGTTTCCCTTCCCCTGTATTTTTTTTCCTGCATTGTACATTAGAGAGAACACCTCAAATGGTGCACAAAATCTTGACAAAAATAGTGCAGTGAGAAGTTTACAAAAATACATTTTTAAGTTCTTATGTAGATTTTTCCTCTTTATGACTTATGTTCAGTACTCTTCATGGGCTGAAATTGAGAAAGAGTAGTGAAGTTACATCATGCCCTAAATTTCCTCCTCAGATTGCCAATGAGGTTTAGAAGTCTTGTAGCATCTGACAGCAAAGCGTGAGATATGCATTCAGTTTTTCCACAGATAACCACTGGAAGCTATATGGCTAGGATCTATTAATAGAAACTAACTATTCTACTGTTGACAAAAAAAGCACCTCAAATGTCTGAGACTGGTTTTACCATCATGTTTTTCTCTTTTCTGTAGTGAGTTTCCTTGACAAGACGGCATCCTACCTCGAACAAAGACATAATTACTGTACTCTTCATAGTAGTCTCCCATCACCACTCGCAGGGTGTAAAGACCTTCATCTTCCTTGTTGGCATGAGTCAGTGTTAGTGAAGCTCGCTCCCCACTCCAGTGCATCTGCACCCATTTGGAGGGTGTAATAAGAACACCTAGAAATTAGAGAATTTCATTATGAGAACTATCTGGATCTACTGAGGAATAGATTCTGAATATGAAGAATATATTGGAATAGATTGGAAAAACACAAGAGACCATTCTTATTATGCAACTTTCTGTCTTCGAACACAACCATAAATTATAGTTAGTACTGCTCTTATGCCAATTTTGTCTTTATTTTCAAAGTGTACCTTCAGAATGCAACAGCTTTTTTATGAGCTCTTGCACAACACATCTGTGCAAGTACTTAAGAAATGTCTTGGCATATAAAAAAATAGTAAAATCTATGTGGGCTGTGTCGATGGGCCACACAGATATTGGAGCTGATTGAAATGGTTCTAATTTAATTTTTTTTTACAGAAGAAAAAATCTCTAAAAGACATTTTCACAGTGCTTCATCAGTTTTTTATCTGTGGTTCCACTTCAAAATACTAAATTGGAAATCTGAGAAAGGGGTGACCACATCATAACATTCACATACGCTGAAATAAGTAAAGATTTACTTGAAATAAGTTCGTATTTCTTCTTGTCAAACATTCTCACCATTTCTGTACCATTCAATCTCTGGTTTGAAGCGCTTGATATCAGGACTGATGACAACTGTGCAGCCCAGGCTCATTGTCTCGCCTTCTCTCCCAAAGGCTACATCAAACTTGTCGACAAATTTGATTTCAAATCTAGAAGCATAGCCACGAGGGGTAACACCAACTGTACAAGGGGAAAAAAAAAACATTGGCTGTTTACTTTTTCCTCCCTTTTATGACAAGCGTAGGAAGCAAAAGTACCCAATGGCTATGAATACAATCTCAGGTAAAGTTTAAGGTATAAATAGAAACAATAAATATTCAGCCATCATCTTCAGAGGTAATTGCAGTGTTAAATAATCCAAACCCTTACTATCAGAGAGAATCAACTATTTCTTTATTCATACAACTCTAGTTCTTACAGCTAGTTCATTTCATCATGGAGAGGCTCTGGCAGAATTTCATTCCAGAATTTCATTCCAGAATTTCCAAAATTGCAAATCCAACGTTTTGTCATTTTATCATAAAGCTTGATTTATAACTTTAAAATACTTCTATTTATGATTAATGATTTGTTCAGGTCAAGCTGCTCTTAAGCTTATATGATTCTTCTC